AGATCCAACATGGTCCAACTTGCCATCAGATTTCCGCACACCCGCAGGCTCACTCGCGGCACTTTGGCCGCTGTCGGCTGGTGACCGGATAACCGCCAGCTATCTGCGCGCTTTGAGCTGAACTTGGGCTGTCTGGCTCGGCCAAGCCATACAACAAACGGTGCGCTCGCCCCATTGTTTCTTCATTGGGCACGCTCCTTTCGCTCGCTGAAGCATGACGCGGCCCGTCCCATCTGTGGCCAGTGTTTGCGCTGAAAGCATGCAGCACCAAACTGGGTTGCTCCATCGACCTATCCATGTTTGGACTGGGTGGCAAACAGATGCCAAATGACATCAATTCCCTCTTGCCTCGGGGGAACATCTAGACTACCCACTTCCAGTTGCCATGATAAGAGGTAACTAAGCGAAACCACCATTCAACAGACTAAGCACTAACAGACAGATCTTCTTTGGCTTCTCATTGGTGGAAACTGCATATGTTCAACTATGTTCAACTCATTGCCGTCAAAGCAAAGTTGGTCGCGGAGCAACCTCCCAACAAAAAACAAATGGTACATTTGCAATGGCTGTCTCACTCGCGCAAGAGGTCGAGCTGCTGACGCCGGTACACCTGAACATTGGCTTAGAGCCGCCACGGTCCCACGAGCAGTGGCCCTGGCAAGCACCCTTTGTGGGAAGCCTTCATGAGGCTTACGGCCAGCTCCTGCATAGCTTCAGAACAAAGGACCTGAACATAATCCGCAAGCCTCATAACCTTGATTCAGCTTGGAAACCATGGAAGGCAAAGCTCAGGCACGTCTAAGTGAAAACACTCGGAAACAGGGTGTGGACTTTGACGAAAACGACAATTCTCAACGACTCGATGGTTCTCAAAATGTACCGATGGAGTCAGCGCATCAGCCCTGGCTGATTTAAAGGGATGTGCTTCTCCTAGGCCAAAACCAACGAGCCATCCCAATCCACTCACTCGAGCTGGACAATGACGATGACGTGAGTGAATTGGGCGGAGTGGCCGGACAAAGCTGCCGGCACTCTTTTCCAACATGGATGTTGATCCAAAAAGTGGACACGTCTAGACCATGCAGTGGCCAAAACCAAGCTTCCGTACTTCTATCTGTTTGCTGCAGCGAGTCTTTCGACCGGGCCCTTTCTCCCAGAAGGACAACCCAGGGCAATTCGGGGAGACCCATTGAGCGAACACGTCTGCCTACAGCTTGTGGCGCACATCTGGTTCCCCTTCCAAAACTCCCTTCGGCTTTGAGGGATAGCAACCTCCAAATAAGCCACGAGCATTGAACTGTTTCGCCATGTTTGGTGGAAGGGACGCTTCAGGTTCGCCTTCAGTCCTTTTGGTCCACTCACTTGCCCAAAGGAAAAGGTGATCAGCTTTTGGGGCCATTGCTCAAAATGGACAAGGTCAACAGGTCGGCCTTGGGCCTCTGAGTCCATTTTGAGTAGATCGATCCGGCCTCATAGGCTCTCTGCAGCATCAGGTCCTCCTAAAAAACATCCAGGACATCCACATGTTTTTTTTGTGGTTTGAGGGTAGAATTCTCAGGGTTGGTTTGAAGGGAAAGCAGAAGGAAGGCCGTAATCCATGTTTGGAACCCCCCTAGTTTGACGAATACCTAAACCATGCCAACCATGTGGGCCAATCAATTCGTCCAAAAGAAGATTCCTCTACAAATGGGTGGTGTTTTGGGTTCCATGTCAATCTGCAGAGTAAACAATGGGAAATTGAACGGAGGCGAAAAGGCATGTGAAAATTAAAACTCGCCATGGATTCCAAGGATCTTGGCACTGGGGATCATTCCTTAGATTTCTGAGCCCTCAAGCAAGCCTCCTTACATATCTAAACACCACCCTTAACATTCGGACCCAACGCTGAAGGAGGTGATCTTGTGACTGCATGGGGCCGCCCTAAAAACAACAAAATCGATGTTCAGAAGAGATGTGTCGCGCATCGTTGCCCATGTCCAAAGCCACTTGATGGGTACTTCCCCCCTTGCGCGCTACACCTTTCAGCAGCGGTCAAACTGATAGTCGGCAAGGGAGAGTCGATTGCGTAAGATGGGGCACTGGCTCCTGAGTTCTTAAACTTATTCCAAGTTGCCCCTTTGAACCAAGCTTAGATGGCTGTGGGTCAAAACCCGGTACCCCTGGTGAGCATCAAAATAGGTCTTCATGGCCGGATGCACCCGTCCCATCCTTGCACCTCCTTCCCCCCCCCCCCGCCCAGAACCCCTCCCGCTCTTTCGCCACTCCGTCCTCCTCAGGCCGCGGCCAGCCTGAAGCCGCAAACATGCCACAAGGTGCGACAAATGAAGGTCTACTAAATGGGTGTGTTGTTGCGCTTTTTAATGAGGGAACCTCACTTCCGATCGAATGGATGGGCCCCAAAAAACTAACAGGATCTTGGTTTATTTACCGCTGAGATGGTCCAAACCTAAAAAGTATGAAGTCCATTAACTCAGGGAGTGAGTAAATGGGAGTGTTGATTTGTTTGAGGGAACCCTTCTTTTAAAGGTCTCAGTGCCAGTCAACGGTCCCCAACATGCTTGGCGAATCTCCAAGTTTGTCCTCTTTTGGCTTCTGGAAGCAACTTCAAGAAGGGTGCCCTACAGCCACAAGGAAGCTGAGGCGCCAAACCTAAACGGCGTTCCAAACGGTTCTGGTCGTCAGCCTAGACCTTTCCAACTTTGGGATCCAGCGCTGGCAGGCTCAAATGGCGATATGCCAAGGGAGTGATAGCGCGGTTGCCGCAGGAACCTGAGTCCTACTTCCCACTGTCAAGCCGTTTCAAGAAGCTCACAGTTATTTATCATCTTGAGTAGATGGGCGGATGGCTGCAGGGGTGGGTGGATGGATGGATGGAAGGGTGGATGCGAGGGTGGGTGGGTGGGTGGATGGATGGATGGATGGAGAGATGCATGGAGTGGGTGGGGTGGGGTAGGGTAGGGTAGGGTGTAGACACACACGCGCGCATACACACACACACACCACAAGGAGGCAAAAGGCACAAAGGCAAGAACCCGCACCACCAACGAGGGGCCAACACCAACGCACACACACACACACACGCAATCAAACACACGCAATCAAACACACACACACACAACCTCTCTCACACGCAAGCGTGCTTGGTTGGTTGGTGAATATTTGAAGGACGCCCGACCGCTAAGCTTGACACGTCGACAAATGATGGCCCAACCCAATCCGGATGTTGTAAGGCAGCACCTATCTGGGCTGCTATCCCTTGTCATTGCCTTTGAAAGGAACTCATACCCTACCCTCGACAAAGCATGGAAGTGCATCACCGTTTCCAAAGGCAAGTTGTCATTAAAATGGGCGCTGTGCACACAATATATGGGATAGTCGAACCTTCTGATTGCAGGGAAAGCTTGGAGCATTCAGCTGGAAAAATAATGAGATATTCTTGGAGGGCTCTAACGCTAAAAAGGGCTGTAGCGCTCTCTTCAAATGCCAGCTGTGCTGTTCGTTTTCAACTAATCCCCCTTCTTAGGCAGGGTTTGCAGCGCTGCTTTCCCAAGCAAGGGGAAAAAGCAATCGGAGAGGTCGGACATTCCTGAGTGGGTTGGCCAGAAACCGTCCTCAAACAACAATGGTCCAAGCCGAAACAGTTACCTTTAGTCCGAAACGGAACCCAGGTAGCGAGGCTAATTTCTGAGTGCTAGCCCGCGACTAAGCGACAGCCTCGTTCCGGAAGATCCCGCGTGGCCCATGGGGCCTGGGAGAAAACAGTGCGATGAGAGAATCAGCTTCCGTCTGGTTTGGAGCACAATCGGTGGTTCCCACAAATTGCTGCTTGGATTGGTGGATTGGTGATCAAATTTGGTGCTGAAAGGGATGGGTGGTTTTCGATCTTAGCGCTTTAAAGGACCAGGCGCTCAGATCCCACCAATCCAAGGCACCAACCAATTAACCAATTCAGGCGCTACCTGAGACAAAAGGCTTCCTCAACCGCTACATGCCAGGAATACGCACATTGAACAGGAGTGTGAATGGATCTATATAAAAGGACTTCCACCCCCCCAAACCGCTTTTGCAGGGATATACAGGATGTCTACCTGGGGCAATTGAAACAAAGCAAATGCGGTGCACTAGAAACCACCCGAAAGGTACAGGAAAATAAAGCAACCCAATCCCTTTGGGTGGTTGTAACCATCAACTGCGGAAGAAAGGTTATGTTCGCACGGCAGGACAGTGAACTGTCTTTTTGCCTAAAACAAATAGGACTCGCTAAGAGGTTCCGCTGCCTGAACATCCAACCTCCCGGTGGAACTGGGACATATCAGCAGTATATGGCCCTTGTTGTATACCATCTTGCCTCTAAAAGTACAGGAACTTCTTAGAGCAACCCGCGTGGTTCGTGTGCATTTTATTCTCATAGGGCCCCCAGAACGGTGGAATCCCCATGCTGGAACTTGGACGGTTTTCTTTTCTTTTCAGGCACCTACTACAAATACATGTGGTACAATATGTGTTCATGGGTCTTGCCCCATTCAGTGTTTGCTTCCATGTCTTCTGCATTCACATGTTCAACGACTTACCTACTTCTAAGTTTCGTTATGTTGATCCTAGTCAGAACTGCAGAGTCAGAAGTTGCACGTGTTGTGGAAGTGCCATTTGCCACAAACTATCTGGGCAGCATGGTTGTCATAAACACAAATGTCATGAACTCATTAAACAAGCAAAAGCAACTAGAAAAAACGGCACCTGGTAAAACTCCTCGGAAAGGCATGTGTCGCAAATCCGGGGTGCGCAAGATAATATGCACACATCAAGCACGGCAACTGTCCACAACACTTCATGAAGTCAAGCAGTAACATCATATCGAGTACATCCGGTGTCGCGGTAGATTAAAACAATATGTGCCAGTCTTACTTGTCATTACGGTTTCCTCTAAAAACATGTATGAAACAATCAATCAGCGCTTCGAGCAAATAGAGGCTTATGCACACATCGTCGCTTCGATTTTCCACGGGCGCTCCTTTGCTGCTGGGCATGCTTGCTGCTCACGCCACAGCCCGGGCCTTGCCATTCGCCAGCCCTTGCGGGTTGAAACTTGGGTTTAAGCCCCCCTCCATGCGCATACCTGCCTTCCCTCGCACTCACAACGGGAACATGCAAAACATCGCGCACCCCATCGGGGGGTGGCTTCACCTAAAGGAAGGTGAAAACCGCATCCTTGGTGGTCAGCTTCTTGTAAGCAGCGGAGAGGGTGCCCAGCTTCGACTCGAGCTCCTGGGTCGAGGGGAGCTAGCGAAAACCCATACTCTCCTGTAGACAGGACTCCGGATGAATCTTCAACCATTATGCCAAAGGGTAGTGGTCTCCCTTGTTGTGGTGGCGTCCCACTACAGGCTACGGATTAGGATAGTACATCCACGGCTGCAACCTCCCGAGTCTGCAATTCTGAATGCAGTAGCAAGCCAAATAAGCGGGGCACAAGCCAAAGGTCCAGCCCGAAAGCAGCCATTCCAGAGGAACACCTCTCTGAACTCTTCCCAAAGGGAAGAGTTCAACCCCTAGGTCTTCCGGAGTTCGAAGTCCACGAAGCAACCAGGTGGCAAATGCGCTCCTTGTCTTTGTCCTTGGGGCTTAGCAGAACCTTGAGCACTTTCTTGCCATCCACGCCCACATGGGTCCGCTTGCCCACCTAAGCTGCTTGAAACGCGCAAAACCTTCATGTGGGTGTGGCTGAAAAATCAACAGGAGGGGTTACGCAGGTTTTGGCCTTTGTTTCCACTCACCAGGCTTCCATTTTGGCACCGGACTTTTGAGCCACGGCCATGTCTGAGGTTGGACATCCCCCTGCCATCGAGTGGCCATGTTGGATCCCGCGTGAAGTAGAAATGACCATTTCAAGAGCATCGGCGCGCACAGTACACTAACATGAACTTAGAAATTGAAATCACGCTGAGAGGTACCTGCATTTTCGGCCATCTGCGGCTGTTCAAACTAGGTTGAAACCTCTATATAGAGTATCCTCAAAACCGGCCCCCCGAAGTGTCCAGTTTGCGAAGGAAGCAGTGCCCTCGCTGTATGGTAGGTCTCCCAAGTTCCTAGAGTAGATCCGGCCCGAGCTTGTCCCCGGGCATTTATGTGAAATTTAGACCTCTTCTGGCACTTGTCAAATCTATGTAAAATTTACGGCTCGCCCCCCACATATGGACACACTGCAAGTCTCGACCAATCATAAAATGGGTGGGCCGCAGGTGTTCGTCCTGTTGCCACTTACCAGGGTGACCCATTTTGGGGTTACATTTGTTTCGACCCACCCCCAAAATCCGCCCAGCCGCGATCTCAGTTCCGGCGAGATCCTCCAACATCGCCTCATGCACCGCCGTCAATGTCCGACTCCAGGGCCGAACCTCGCGATGGAAGCGCTGGGGCTCTGGGCTCACGGTCGGGCTCGAAGCAGCTCACTCTAAGTTTGGTTTGGCCTTTGCAAGCAGTGAATGGTCCTTGCATCTCTTCGGTTCTAGATTGTGTATTTAAAGGGTCTACCCAAATGCAAAGGACCGCAACAGGCGGATATCTGCAGCTACTTCTGGCTGGCACTGCGGGTTTTGATTATGCTCAAGCGAGCGGACTTGGCACACAACGTCAAGTCGAGCCTACGCGACACCTACACCTGTAACTTTCCAGTCCAGCCAACTGGGAGAAGTTGCCTTCGGCCTCCGCGCGCGCAGCAATCTGCCTACGAGGGCCCTGATAAATCCGCCCTCTTTGTGCCCCAAGCTCTGCTCAGGTGGGCATCAGTCCGGGCCACATTTACGTGGAGGGGGGGGGGGAGGGGTTCAGGATGTGTTTGTTGTTTCGCGCTGGCAGTCTGCTTTGCGGTTTGCAGAAGGACAACACTTAAGACTCACTTCGCGAGTGAATAACCCCAAAAACGTCCTTCTTGATCTACCACTAAAACGGCCTTCCCAAAAGCATCAAGTCCAGAAACTCTCGAAGTGTGGAAGCGAAAACAAAGACCCCCCCACCGTTCCCTCAGAAAAGGTTCTCCTGAAGTTTTGACCTTTCGAAGCTCCGTGTGAGCCCCTAAGCTCGGACAGAAACTGGTCATTTGAAAGGCATCCGAAGCTGCTGCTGCATGCTTGCATGCCTGAATCACAAACCTGGAAACCCAAACAGCGTTTCCCCGCAAGACCCTGCCAGGATATTCTTCTTGAAGCTCCTTGTTGCTCTTCAGGGCGCAGGCTTAAAATGAGGAACCAGGGGCTCACCTGTCACAACACAAACGCCATAACAGCAGTTGTCCAGTGCGCTGGTCGGCCTGAGGTTGCTCAACATCCCTCTTGACATGCTCACTGGTTGAAATTGAGCTGTGGGGAGCCACAACTTCACAACACTACCCCATCTTTTGCCCAAAGCAAAGTTGGATGCGCTCTTGCCGCTGAAAACCAACCTGAGTTTCCCAAGTGGAACCCCGGAGGGAGAGTTCTCCAAACCATATATGACTTGGTCACGGACATGCAAACAAGAGTGTCTGTTTTTTTAGCAGCAACGAAAGATAATCAACAGGGTACTAAAATGGTCTACCGAAAGTCGTGCAAACAATCAGGAGGGCGGCTGCACTTATTTCTGGTTGGGGCTGTCCTCTACTACCCCTGCTCTCATCCAGGGTTTGCTTGTGGCTTAATCCTCCATTTGCTTGTTCGCCCACTGGAAAAAACAATATTTAAAAGAAAACACATGTGCAGTTGTGAAATTAATTCCCTTTAAAACCAACAGCGCAAAACGACAACATCTTGACTTCGGCAAATGGAAGCCATCCGGGTCTGATTTGTTTGGAAGCCACGGCCCCCTTTCTTTCTCACCAACAAAAGGCCGGCCCCAGCCGCCGCCGCCGGGCGGCATTCAGCCCCTTCCGGCGGAAGCTCTGGTCCAAGATGGTGCGGTTGGCCACCAAGACCTCTGATCTGGCTGCGCCCCCGCCATGACGTGACTTCAGAAGCAACATATTGGAACCTGTACTCACTTCTGATCGAGTGGATGGCCCCAAAAAGAAGTCCGAACTTGTTGTTTACCGCCAGAATGGTCCTCCGAAAAAATGCATAAAATCACACAAACCCTTGAAATGTATTTAAGGGGTCGACAATGTTTAGTGTGGAACCCACCGAAGAAAAGAGAGAGAGAGAGAGAGAGAGAGAGAGAGAGAGAGTGCCTCTGAACTGGGAACACATGGCTAACCGAGGCGCCACGTGCTGGCGGCTGAACTTCTTCTCGAGCTCCTTGATCAGCTTGGACTGGATCGGTTTTGCCGCCTTCCGTGCTGACGCTAGGAACCACGGGCTCCCGACTTTTTGGGCCTTGAAAAGGGTTGAGGCCTCTCGAGGGGTCGGGCAAAGACAAGCGCAAGAGTGCAACAACTGCAAAGTTAGGGCCCTGCAAAAATAGATCAGACTGTCGAGTCAAGTCTATAAACAGTTGTCCAGGCAAGCTGTGTGTGGGCCAAAACGAATTGGCGCTAGCAGGTACCAACATTGCCAAAATTGGGCTGTTCAAATTGGAGGATCAGGAAACTGCACTTTGTATTTTTCCTGCTTTGTAAAAAAAACCAAGGACAACGTTCGTGCCCGTACCAAAGACAAAACCTGCGTAAGCTGCAGTTCTCCGCTCGGACGTCCAAGCGATCACCCGAAGGTGCATCAGAAACGGGAAAAGGAGCGCTCAGAATCTGAGCATTGCCGGGAAGAACTGGCTGAAAAGCACGAGGCTTGGGCTGGCCCAACTGCATATGGCTTGGAGCTCCTGCCGGCCACGCCTTCCAGGATCGGAAGGGCACGTGCAAAATCATGGCGTGCTCCAGCTCCGTGACGCCGGTGATGACGAGCTCCTCCGACTGGAGGGTCCAGGGGTTGGCACTTTTTTGGGCCACCGTTTATTAATTGGGGTTAATTGGGGTGATGTTAGGTGAACAGTGAAAATGGAATTCCACGCATCGACCAATGCGCGACTGCAAATGAGTCGCAACAAAAAAAAAAACTGCTACTAAAGTAGTCTGCCCAAAACCATGAAGCAAGAGCGCTGCTGCACCTGTTTCTGGGGTTGACCCTTCTACATATATTGTAGACATTGATGTACCAATGTTGATCCCATATCAGATCCCATATCAATAAACCAGTCCTATTAATAGAGGGTGTTCCCGCCAAAAGTGATGAACCCCCGCCAACAGGGCACACCCCCCCATTGATGAACCTTCAGAGGTTTATTGATCCGCAGCTCCCATGTGGCGCTGGCTCCTTCATCTCTGCCTTGAAGTCGCAGGAAGGTGAGACTTCCTTATCTGATTTAACCAATGCGGTCGCTCCCAAACCTCCGAATGTCCATGGGACTTTGGCCGCCCTTTGGGTGGTGGTTGAAACTTGAACGGGCAATCCTCCCCGAGGTCTTGGCATTCTACAAACATGGTATGGCCAAATCTGGGTCATGGCCTCAATGTTGGAGGTTGTTTAAGTGTTTGTAAGGCTTCGTGGGTCGTTCTGGTCGTTGATCGAACTATCAAGGTGTGGTTGAAAGAAGCTTGTCATAGGATGAATTGTAGTCAATGCTCGCGCAGCCACTTCGAGCAAGTCCTTCTGAACGATATGGCGGGCAAGGGACAGGCCCAGCAGGCGCGCAAGCAAAAGACGTGCTTGAAAGAAACCATACACAGTGCCAACCATGCCACCTGTCATTACCCTTGCTCCTGCCCTACCGACCCTCAGACTACCCTTGAATATGGGATACTGCCCCCAACAATTCAGGGTTTCTCACTTGGCCCATGGGTCAAAATTTCGTACCTCCAGTGAACATCCCAATCCCACTAAAACAGACTAAAATGGGTGGTGAACCTACCCCATGTACCATTGGTTTTGTCCCACAGCCACTTATCCAGGATTGTTTGAGGGTCCATGCCGGCACTATTGGAAGCCACGATCTGACCCTGGCCGTGAGTCTGCCGAAGAAACGGCTCCTCTCACAAAGGTGCGCGGGACAAAGCGTGTGCCAGCCGCCAAAAAACCAGTCAAAGCCAAGCAAGCCGGAGAAGAAAACAAGCAGTTTTACGTAGTGGCCTAAGATTTTAGGGCCGACTTCTTCACTCAGAACCCCTCCGCCCAAGTTTCAATGTCGAAGAGGGCCTTGGACACCTCTTCTTCCAAGTCCGTGGCTGCACCCTCCTGTCGTGCGAGATCACCCCCGAAAACTGCCAGTGGTTCTTCCAATCCACCTCCTTGCCGACCGATTTGCCCCGTTCGTTTTGGGCTCCGAAAGCTGGGGGTCGAACAACTGGGGTGCCGGCAGAATAACATGGAACCCAAAAAAACATCATGCCCAGAGGCGTGCCTTGCGAACCGTGCAATTTGCAGCGGAGTAAGCCTGAGTGGTTTGAACAGGCGTTCTACAACTAGAATGGGCGTTAGGGGTACTAAACAAAAAAAGGACGGGAGCTTAGGGGTTGAGGTACCACACAACCAATTCAAGTCACGACCGTGGGAAAATATCATGTACGGAAGCTGAAGCTGACGATGGGAAGGCTTTGGAAGATGAACTGCTGTGGATGGTCGAAATCCGTTCGCATCACTTTGAAGCCATGGAAACCATTGTTTGAATGATCCTTCCGGGGTGTCTTAGGCGCGAAACGGATTCCGTCCATCCACATGTCCAATTGGGGATGCCCTGAAACCATGCACTTCGAAGCTCCTTGACGAGCTTCCGCGTGTTGATCATGGCCGCCAAGGTTCCACAGCAAGCGCAATGTGACAAGAAAGGCTCGAGATCAAGCGAAAAGGGTGCAACATTGTGGCTACAAGTGGCAAGCAATAAAACCAAAGAGCAAACAAACATGAACAATTTTAAAGGCAATATTGCGAGTAATATGTGCTGTGTGCCTACCCATGCGCGTAGTCTGAAAGACGTGCATGTGCTTAGCGGCTTTGGCTCAGTGCGGCTGCGCCAATCTCCAGCTTGCAATCACGCGACCAAGGCTGACTCCATATTAATCAACCCCCGTCTATCAATAGGGGGGTGTCCATTTCTGGGTTGAGTGGGGAATCAGACCACTTTTGGAGGGGCCCCCACCCGCCAATTAATGCACTGTGGTTGATCCGGGGTCAACATTACAGCAACCTACCGACCATGAGCCCCTAACAATACTTCCTCAAACTTGCCTCTTGCCTCTGTCTGCCTGGAAATTATTGCGAAGGCCTTAGGATGGTAGTCCTTAAAGCTCTCCCCAAAATCCGTTGCTGGCATGGTCAACAAGCCCCTTCCATAGGGCCTTCAGGGGTTCGCAAATGATGGGCATCCTCCTGTTCAGCTTTCTTCCTCATGCCCTGTGAACATGAGAGAACCCTAAGAATTCTGAGTGCTAAGGGAAGGACTTTCACCACAGCGGTTCGGTTCCATTTCCAACGGAACATTGCCCTTAAATGAATGTTTCCTGTTGACGTGGTGGTAAAGGTCGTGTTTCAAATGCTCCAACTGTATGTTTTGAGCACCCCCTTGCACACACACACACACAAAAAAAAGAGGATCGGCCAGGATCATTCGACTGTTCCGACCTGCCTAAAATCGGGCTGGGTCTTCTTTTCGGGGAAAAACCCCACCCACACACACACAACGTGAGGGGGGTGGGGAGGGGATGAAATGATTCGAAACGAGGACACCTCTGAAATCACACAGAAATTGTGCTTGCGCTACATGGAAACCAAAAGTGAACCAGGATGATGTTTGTTGTTCTAGCCTTCTTGTCGGACAGCTTCCAGGCTTGGTGTGGCATGTGCTTCTGTGGTGCTGCTAGAAACAGCCATGGAACCACAAATGGAATCTCAGGGATCACCCCTCTCCCACCATTAAAAACATTTGGAAGCTGCCCTATAGCCTCCAGCCTGATCCCCTGACCCAATGACTATCCAAGCTGTCCGAAATTCTATAGTAACCAGTGTCGCTTGTATGTCAAACAGTTCATGTCGAAGGCGGTGACGCTTCAAGCAAGAAGCACCTAGCTGTCCTTCTTTGGCCGAATCAGTGTCTATGCTCAATTAGCTAGGGAGCGCCATCTATGTTCAACCAAACTGACCTAAAAGGACACCTATGGCCAAGCCTGTTCTGTTGTCAGCTTTGAGCAAACCAAGTGTTTGTTTGTTGCAGCCCGAATTAAAACACGGAGAAACTCCCAAAGTCCCAAAGCAGCAAGAACCAGACACCCACACAAAGGTTATTCCTCGCACGATGTTCCCTTCCCGCATCACCCCCAAACAGAAATGGCAGAGAACAAAGACATGTTTGAAACCATCTCGGCTTGTCGCCTGAGGGCCGCCTATTGGTTTGAAGCGAAGCCGGGAGCAAAGGAAACCAATGGACATTGAGGGCGTTGCTCTCAGGATAGCCAGGGCTCCAGGTGCATAAGCAAAACATTGAACATGGCGAGCCCCGAAACCAAGAAGCAAACAAGTGCCAACAAAGTTGCGTGGGTGGGTGGGTGGGTGGGTGGGTAGGTGGGTGGGTGGGTGGGTGGCTGGGTGGGTGGGTGGGTGGGTGGGGCCTAACAAGATTCAACATCTTATCACTCACCCCCAAACGGCCCCAAACACCCCAACACCCAACCCCAACCCCCCCCCCCCGCATCAGGTAAAAAACAAAAGGCAAATGCCCAGTGACCCGGCTGGGATTTAGACGGTGCCGGCTTGGCTTCCTCTTGGTCCCCATTTACAACCCAGGATGCAATCGAGCAAATCGACGCGGGATGCTTTGGGCCCTGCGTGTCTAAGGTCAGGCGGACGCAATGGAGGCCTGCACACAGGGCCAAGGAAAAAAACAAATACAAGGCATAATAGTTAGAATAGACTTAGTTCCTGGTTCCCACCTGTTTTGGGTTTGTGATAAACATGTGTCTCCCATGCTCATTACTCAATTGACCGCAGACCGGATGTGTTGACCGAACCTCGGTTGAGGTGGTAAACGAGCAAATTCTGCCGAAATGAAGCCGGTCTAATGTCCACTGACAGTTAGTATGGCTTTTTGAAACGTAAAGGATTCCGGCTATGGAACGCTGCCTATTGATCAACCAGCGTTTGCGCATCCCACGCATAAAGGCAATCCAAGTGAAAGCTGGGTTTATTCAGCATGTGTGGGTGTGTGTCAAAATAGGGTGCCCCCAAAATGATGGCAGTTTTTTTGGTGTCCATTGAAAAAGGCACCCTGCAAAACGCACGTGCACACACACACACACACTCACACACACACACATTAAAACGAGACACCATGACATGCATCCCGACTGCAGCAATTCAGGGAGGTAGATGCTGGTGCCTCGTTGCCTCCACCCGCCGAGGACCTCGGCATGTGGCGCAGTTGCGGCAGTGCTTCCAAGAGAAAACCTCTGCCCAAAGCACCTGGAACTGAACTACGGTATACTCCCTCTCATGCCTCAATAGGGCCTTTGGGGGTGTCTTTTGGAGAAACTGCAGGAGAGGGAGGGAGGGCTTAGGGACGGGGATAGGAATCCTATGAAATATGAAGCTGCCATGTTAGATCCTTCCAAAAGAAAATGCAAGGACCCGCGTTGGCACGGGACAACGTGGGTAAAAGGAGCTTGCCCTTCTGGGGGCTTCCCTAATTTGCCTTTTCGGGCGACCAAAAAAAAAACAAAAACGTATTTTTGTGCATAGATCAACTGGCATTTTATACTACCCCGGAGAGGACCAAGCCCGGCCTGGCCAGCGTCAAACAACGTTGTTCACAATTAGCACAGAACCTCTGACACATATTTATTCGTAGGCACCGCAATTTGCCCAGATCCTTAATTGGTTAGATGCACTCGCGGTGTGGGGATGCAACAGGGCCTGGGTTTCTGTTTGGAACCGCTGTTTTCTTCTTTTCCTGGTTCCTTCGAATTTTCAAGGATCCATGTGAGGATCATGACGAGTTCTTCCCTGAGACCTGACGAGCTCGCGATCAAATAACCAAAAACCGCCAGCTGAGGAGCACGCCATGTTGTGGAACCTCCGGGTAGCCTCAAGGCAACTTGGAGCTTGGCGATCCATTTGCACATTCACTTCGAGGACTACGTGTCTGGGTGCCATTTGAATCTGGACCCCTCGCAACAGGCAATCTGCGCGTGAACGGCGTATCAGAGACTGTCATTCAAAACGAACAGCACAAGAACACAAAGAGCAAATGGAACTCGCATGGTTATCATGGTGCGTGGCCAATTGACCCTTTTCCACGAAAGTCTGGGCCGTCCCTACGACTGCTTTGTCATTTCGAACCGGCTTGACGATTATCACTTTCTATGGGCTGGCGTGCCCGTTGACAGTACTCCGTTTAGTCTTTTCCCATAAAAAAAGGACAATGAAACGACAATTGGTGTTTGGTCCTTCCATTTGCCTTACCTGCGGCATATCTTCCATTTGCTTAAGTTTTGTTTTTCCAGATCTTGGTGTTAAAGAGAATTCTATAGGGATCATTCCCCTGACCCCATTCCAATAAGCAACCCATCGATGGCGCATCTTCGAGCAAACTCGGAGATCATTTTTCACGCACTGAGGGCCGAACCTTTGGCCCGGACCTGGGCGGCCCGCCCTCAAACTACCCATGGCAGGATGTACAAAGTGATTTCCCAACGGCTTGAGGGTCGCAGTGGGGGTGTCTTTTTTTGTTGGTACCAATTCTATGTGGTTTGAAGATGAAACCAATTGGAAAACCACCAAATTGTGTGCAAAGACACACCCTATGTCCAAGAATTCCTCAAAGGCGTGCTAGCAACTGGACTTGCGAAACGGGCTTTGGGTCCCAAAACTGTCCTCATCGGCAAACCGCTTTTCGGAGGGGCCATGGCACAAAACATCGCCCTTGCGCCACACATGAATTTGAGGCAAACAAAGCCAAGGTTGAAACTGCTCTGTGGGCAGCTGAGCTTATTGTGCTGTGGTCAAAACTCTTTGCGCTGGATCATGGCTTGCTGTAAAAAGGGATCCTGATGAGGTTTTCTGGGACATTACTTGGCTTCAAGAGCACACCCGCCTGAAGCAAATGCCAGGAAATTCCCTGCGACCCATGCCATTGTGTATGTCCAATGACCCTTCGCGTGGAACATTTGAGCCTTGCTTGGCACTTGAGGCACGCCAATCGAAAGTCAAAGTCATGGTACAGCAATTGTGCAGAACAAGTTACCTTGAAAATCATGGGATTTGTCCGGCTCGACCTTGTACAAGCCGACCCGACTCAACCCAGCCAGTACCCTACCGAAGTTGGTTACACAAAAAACACCTTCTTGGGCACAGCTAGCATGTTATTCTATCCTTCATGGCCTTTCGTTCGCACATCGGAACCTGTCCTGCCTGACGGCGCTTGAGGCTACCCGGAGCCGGGGGCTCTTTGAAGGCTACGAACTCCAAGACACCGCAGCCTTCTGGGTCGGTGTCCCCGTCCCATAAACCTGGAACCCCGAAAAAGTTGCCACGGGCGCCATGTCAGCCTGCAAAGTAAATACACAATGCAAACAAATCCGTGGACATTAAAACCATATTTGTATATATTTAGGGCACCATATTACACCTGTTTTATATGGGTGGATTTGTGCAAGCCAGTCATTTGTGAGGATATTCCACCCGTGGTTTTGGTGCGGTGGGGTGGTTTCCCATTTGCCTTCAACAAGAACCAGGGACTCAAATCCCAAACCACCAATCCAAACTACCAAGCAAAGGTTACCTGAGCTTTGAAGATTCCATAGAATAGTCAACCACCGGAACAAAAAAGCCACGACTACCAAGTACAGGCTACTGCAGTTT